CTTTGTCCCCATCTTCAGCAGCAAGCACAGAGTTCCAATTCCCATGGTATCAGAAACAGTCTGGTTGTATGTCTTTCTCGTCTCTCCATTGCGCTTGGAGTGTCAAACAAATACCCTCGCCACCCCTCGCTGCACCGTGATAATCTTTTTGTGCCCTCTCACTATCTGTATTGTCATGCATAAACTTACCACCAAGTTTAGCAGAAGCAGCCAGTCTAGCTGCCTGTTCCTTTTCCAACACACCGCAATTTCCTGGAGTAATGTGGTAAGGGTTCTTTATTCATGTTTAGAGATGAGTGGATTACAATTAGTCAAGATGGTCGACCTCACTACACCGGGTTTTACCCTACATTGTTCGGACTGGCTCCGCAGAACCATTTGTTACCTACCGAAAGCGTCGCATAAAGCACCAACTCAGTGGCTCAGTTGATGATACCAAGAGAACTCGGTTAAAATTTCACAAAACGAGTCCTGTAAAACGAACCCACAACCTTCAGAGCGCGAGATAAAGGGCTTGACCACTTCGCCACTTCTTTCCCATGCCTCACGTGAAAGATGAACGTTATCCAACTGTTTACTTTAAACTATTTGATGGTGTTGTGTAACAGACTTTTCATTATGTTTCCCCGCTGCCGATAAGGGTCAGATTAACTTGAATTATGAAACAAACGACTACAGAAGAAATGGGATGAAGCGGTTATGTGTCTTTCATACGGAGTATCAGTGAAGGCCAAAGAAGTTCACTCAGCTGATAATTCTGACTTTACAGCGATGGATTTCTCCGCCGAATCCCTTAAGTGAACTAAGAGTCTGTGGCTTAGGTGTTGCGAACGCGCTTCGTAATGCCGAGGTACCGGGTTCGATCCCAGCTACGGACGGCTTATCTTGCGTTGGTTTTCGTCAGTGGTACCGAGAGCTGACCGTTCAGGGAGCAATGGCAAACTACTGAAATTTGTCTACAAAAACCACAACAGCCAAAAAATGCAGGGGTAGGTTCTGCAACGTCCTGTAAAGGACACGCAACTAACTAAACAGAGAAGCCTGACAAATACAGCAGCTAGACCAGTGGTTCTCAGATATTAGAACGAAAAAACACAATCCTGGAGACTCAATCAACTTCCTTACACGAAAGCCTCAGACCATTGTTTTCTGTTTACGAACTGGACACAGCAGACTCCGTTGCCACATGTACAAGAAATGAAAGACTGGGGATTCAGAACTTCGCCCTAAGCGACAAGGCACCACAGAATACTGAGCATATGCTGCAGACATGCTGTTTACAGACAGAAGGGAGATCTTTGGTCTGTCCAGCTTGCATACAAATGAAACCAAGCTGTATGGATAAGAGAAGGGGATACGTTTCACCCTAGCCTGCATAAAGGCCTGGTTTATTTCAACGTTAGTCTCCCTATATAGAGTCATTCACAAGTTTTTTGGGCTGGTCAACTTACCTGAAGGTTACGGGTATGTCCTTCTCTGTTGTTTAGTTTTTTTTTTGCGATGTCTTGTATTTACGTTTTCATTCATTTTCAAAGAGAATGCCTATGACAGAGGTTTCAGCACTCTCTAGGGGGGTCGTGTTAGACCCAGCTTCTCCATGTTTTTGGAGTGTTAAAAGCGTAGGCTTGCTGAAATACACAATACGCGATATCAACGACATTGCAGAACACCACCGTAACCTTGTGCGAAGGACACGGGGCTTAGGAACTACTAATCAGAAGTGAGCTAGTGTGAATAAAGGTCTGGGTGAGACTAACTTCGAACCTACCGAGGCCTGTTAGGTTCTCATTTAATAAAGAAGACGGTCGGCTGTTCACATTGGGAAAATACTAAATGCAGTATAAAATGTGGCTAGAAAGCTCGACGAAATGGAAAAGAACGTTTCGACCAAAGTCCTAATCAACGGATTATTAAATATAACACAAAGGGTGACTGGAAAACTAAACCGACAAGACAACAGAGCTTCTCGGAAACTAAATAAACAGCGTCTTGTCTTGGAACCTAAACTATGTTTTTTGGACCATATCATGCGCCACAGTTATAACTGCAAAAAGAAAATACCAGGACGGAAGGGCCCGGGGCCGACCAACACAAAGATGGGCTTAGGATAAAAGTGACGCCTCGGAAGCGAAAGCCCATGAGGTGGGAGAACTGGCGAGAGATAGAGTTTCTTTCAAGCAGACGGGGAAGAGAGCGACGTTTTGCAAAGGACCTGCTACATGATGATGATGACCATTCTCATGTCAGTTACCAACAATGACGCGATATTTACTTTTAAAAATAAAAAGTAAAAAACTAGCTTTTAAGAAAGGATTTATTTCCGACGCAGACATTGAGCTTGCAAATTCTATGTAATCACACAAGGTTGCGTCAGGATTAACTTGTCACCAACTATTCTGTCCTTGTTTTGGCCTTCAGTATTAGGTACTTGGAGTTGCTCACATGCTTATTTACTCCATTAACTCATCTTTAACTTCTAACCGTTTACCTCGTGCTCAGAAAGTCGTGGATTCATTTCACGGCATTTCGTGGGGATCGTCACCGGAGCTTCGGAGTTCGTTGTTTTGGGTGACGCTCGAAGCAAGTAGTTCTACTTCTGACTCAAACCAGAGTCCGAATAATCTCCGCACAGTGCACGAACTCCGTAGCACCGGCGAGAATCCTGAAATATTTTGGGTAGATTTTTAATAATAAGAAGATTAGCATTGATAAGGCGGAGGTAAGATAATAGGTAAATAAGAAGAAACCATTTTCATTAAAGTAAATACCATAGAAATAAAACAAACGAGCGAGTTTAAACCTCTAGGGTCATTTTTCACATAAGACTGAAGAATGGATAGAGAAATAAACATACGATATCCGAAAGCAAATCAGGTTATGGGACAAATATGACCCATAGAAAGATACCTCTGTCAACCAAAGCAAATCCTATAAGCGTTTTTTTTGGGGCAGACATTGTGATACCAGTGCCAGACATGGAACCTTTCTACAACTATTGAGCGGAAGATCGTAACAAATGAGATGAGATGTCTTAGAAGAGCTGCCGGTGTGACAAGAAGAAATCAAATCAATAATGAAGATATCAGAAGTAGACTAGGACTGAAACCAGTCATTCAATTATATTAAAGAACAACAAGTATATTGGTTTTGCCACCTGGTACCAGCTGTTACATAGAGCCATGCTAAAGAAATATAATGAAAACAGAGCAAGGGGAAGACCACGCAAGAAGTGGAGCGACACCATCAGGAGCAACCTAACAGAAATGAACACCAACTTGAACAATGCATTGAAAAAAGCGCACAAACGATCCTCATACCACCCCCCCCCTCAACACCTCGCTGAAGTAAATGGTGGAAGAGAAGAAGAAAAATAGATCTTTAACTCAAAATTTTTGCCCGGGCAGAGTCGTTAGGCAAGACATGTTAGTTGCAAATACCTTCTGGGTAAAAGTAATGTTAGTCTCCCCAGATCCCGCCCATATACACACTAGCTCACTTCTAATTGGTAGTTCCTGAGCCCCGTGTCTTTCGCACAAGGTTACGGGTAGGGGGCGGGGGGTTCGCAATGCCATTGATATCGTTTGTTGTATATTTTAGCACGCCAGCGCTTTTAACACTCTAAAAACATGGAGAAACTAGGTCTAACACAACCCCTCTCCCTCCCATAGAGAGTGCTGCACACTATGTTATAGGCATTATCTTTCTCAGAATAAAAACACAAATGTAAGACATCACAGAAATCAAACAAAAGAGCAGGACACACCCGTAATCTTCAGGAAAGTCGACCAGCCCAACAAACTTGTGAATGACCTACTCTATTTGGGAAGACTAACATCAAACTAACCACTTTGTGAATAGATTAATCAATCAACCTATGGTGAGTGATAAGGTACTGAATGCATTAGGAGAAGGGCGATCCCCTGCTTTGTGTGTGCCGGATTCTTCTTTTTCGTATTCATTGACTGTTATCTCCAGGGGAAAGTTCTGGTTATTCATCCACTTGTCGACTTTGGTCTTGTACCTGAACTTGAGTTTTACGTGCACATCCATTTTGAAGATCTGGCTTATTTGTTTGCAGACTGTTGGTTTCTCGCGTCTCTGGCAGGTGCACTCCGGCTTCGAAGAAAACATTTATAATTTGTCGCCTTTTACGACATGCTTGTTATAGTTGGCGTCTGTGGCTTAAGTGTTCCGAACGCGCTTCTAAATAAACGGGGTGCTGGGTTCAATCCAGCATGCGTTGGCTTTGACAGTGGTAACAAGAGCTGACCGTTTCAGAAGCAGTAGCAAACTACTGAACGCAAAATTTGTCTAGGAAAATCACAACAGCCAAAAAGTGCTGGGTTTGGTTCTGCAACGTCCTGTAAAGGATACACAACTAACTTGTGTGAGTACGGTTGGTCTAGCCCTCCACCCCCCCACCCCCCCCTCCCGCCAGTGGAGCCCTGGAACCCAGAGGCTAAATGTGCCGGATTGAAGAGCCCATTTCTTCTAGTCCCCCTCCAGGATTGCGGTCACTTGGATTGACAATCAAGGAGAGAATCAAACAGTACAAATCCTTGAAACCCCGTTCAACCGAACAGCCGTGAAGCACTGCCTACATTGGGTCATCATAAATCGGTCTCAAAATAACTCGAAGTCCAGTGTTAATAGGTCTTGACGAAAAGCTCTTTACTGATCACTGGTTTGTCATATTTTTTTTCTAAATGGTCAATCCTGTTTTTTTTTTCCTTTTCAAATAGCTTTCAAACAATCCACTGTATTAACAATTTCAGGACATTTATACATAGAGCATCAGTAAGTTAATTTTTTTTAAATCAATTATTCACAGTCAGTCAGTTATACATAAAATATCACTCATAACTCAATTCGTGATAATTTGTTTTGACTACAGAAGGAATTCATTCACCAAAGAAAACCACCTGTTTCAGTAGAAGAATGCTCAGCTGAGACTGAACTTTCGAGAGACCACATTTTCAGGCGCTCAAAAAATCACCACAATGAAACTCAGGATGAACACGCTCAACTTATTTCAAGTTCTAGTTACAGGATTAACAGTATATGCATCCCCCCTTTCAACGCCGATATCTTCTTTCGCAACATCACCAGAAGCATCTACATCGCTTACTACAGAACTAACCAACTCTCAGTGCCAACCAGTAGAGGAAGCTGCCTGCTCTAGAATGTACACCTCAACACAAATGCCAAATCTGTACGGAGATGCTCTAAGCAGGAATGCAGGAGCAAAAATTCACGAGATCCTCACACAAGCTGATAAAGACAGTGTTCTTGTGGGATTCTTCTGCACGTTGTACCTCCCGCCATGTGCCGATAGAACGTCGCAGGATAATGAACAAGTTGATCAGCAGATGGTGCCTTTGCCATGCCGTCCACTCTGCGAGCTGGCTGCCCAGAAAAGGAAAGAATACACGATTCTGGATGAACTCCCATGGCCAGTCAGATGCAGTTCTTTACCTACCGAAAACTGCTTTAATTTGCCAGGTAAGTTGTCAAAAAATATTAGCTGCATATTCTGTCCAAGGGAACCCCGGTAGCGTAGCGGCTAGGCGCTCGCCTCCCGGCTCAAAAGACTTTGGTTTGAATCTGCATCCAGTCTTTTTCGTGTGTGTGTGTGTTTGTTAGAATGACCTTAGCTTCCAAGTTTACCCAGCCTATAAAGGATACCAGGTAAAGTCATTGGAAGCAAAGGCGTCTGGCCTTAATGTAGGCCGCATTGCCCTTCGAGTACCGACTGGTCCATCTATAAAAATATGACCATAGCATCATATGCCCCAATCGCCAATGGCGTGAAAATAGTCTTATTACATCCTGAATAAGAGTCGCAAGACGGGCACAGCATTCATTGCCTGTTTATGGTTTTCCTCGCAGGTCGACAAAGCCTAAAATGGGTACCAGGATGGACTGTCCTGGGAAAGTAAAGACGGCCGGCGTAATGCTGACCACATTACCCACCTTGTGCCGATGGTCTGTAAAAATATGGGCGCTCTTCCTATATGCCCGATACGCCTAAAGGCGTGAAAAAGGATCTTTACTTTTTTTTTAAAACTTATGGTTTTACTGAAAACTTTACGTTTGTAAGTTTGTCATTGACAACTTAACGGTCGAGGCTCATACCATTGTCGACATGAATGCACAGCTGAGTCTAATCCGTGTACAATAGGTACTAGGAAAAGGCATGGAACGTAAAAACCATCGGCTCGATGTTGATCACAACACCCGACTAGTGCTGACTGGGCTATAAAAACGTTGGTTTAGCATCATATGTCGGATATGCCAATACTTTCAATTAGTGCCTGAACTTCCCACTTTTGTGGTGAAGGCAGGAAGTTTTTGAACCTGACCATTTAGGGCCGCATAAGGTCGCCACGGACTGTGTAGGTTAGAAACTTATGCTAGCCTCGGACAAAAAACAAGCTACCGAGGATTCGAACATGGGTTTTTCCGCATTAGAGCCCAGTTTTCTTAACTGTCGACCACCTTTCCCGATACACCAGTGTCATACAAATGGTCCTTTACTGTTACTTAGCATGCTTCCATGCCTCAAGAATTTCCATACCCACTATGTCTTTTACACTTCAGTGAACAATTATTTGGAAGCTTGGAGATGTTTTTTTTTTTGGGGGGACGAATAATGAGAATACACTTGGTATATAAAACTTTTAATGAAGATGTCTTGGAAAAAACTGACTCGCGAAGAGAACCGATTGCTTAACTCAGAAGGAGACAATCTACATTCTTTGGTCATTTCGCGAGAAGGAGAAAACTGGAGTATATAGTGACGGTGATAAAGCTGAAGGAAAAAAAAAAAAAAAAACAAGACAGATGGAGACCAAGAGAGAAGATGAGGGAGACCAAGAGAAAAGATGCAGTACGGTTTGACATCATGCCATGGAAGATCGTCTATGTCAGAGTTGACTAAAAGTACATGAAACAGAAGGTCGTTGATTTGACACGACTACCAATATAAGAAGGCATGGACTAGAAGAAGAAGCAGCAGCAGCAGCAGCAGCAGAAGAAGAAGAAGAAGAAGAAGAAGAAGAAGAAGAAGAAGAAGAAGAAGAAGAGAAGAAGAAGAAGAAGAAGAAGAAGAAGAAGAAGAAGAAGAAGAAGAAGAGAAAAGAAGAAGAAGAAGAAGAAGAAGAAGAAGAAAAAAAGAAGAAGAAGAAGAAGAAGAAGAAAAAGAAGAAGAAGAAGAAGAAAAAGAAGAAGAAGAAGAAGAAGAAGAAGAAGAAGAAGAAGAAGAAGAAGAAGAAGAAGAAGAAGAAGAAGAAGAAGAAGAAGAAGAAGAAGAAGAACTCCACATTCATGTTAAAACCAATTTTTAACCAGCTGGTATCCATACCACATAGCACACATTCTTCGTTACTTTTAGGCCCTCACTCAATATCACTCCTCCTCTAGCGCGGCACTGAAGTAAAGTGCAGCCCTCTTAGAAGCCCCCTTGTTGACATCATCATGAGTGTCTCAGCCTGGACTTTCACACAGGAACTGCTATTGAGTAATGCGCTGTGAAAATACACAATAACTATGCATCAAGTACCACTTGGCTTAGTCATTGGCGTTTAGAAATGAGGCATGTACGAAATACAGCGGCGCCTGTCGCGCTTGTAAGCCTCTGTGATCTATATCTTTCTAGTGCTGCTTGATATCACATGGAATCATTATATAGGAATGTTCTTCTGGCTTCTCTATTTACTACCGCAGCTAATCGTTACACAGCAATGTTTTTCTGGCTTCTCTATTTACTACCGCAGCTAGTCGTTACACAACAATGTTCTTCTGCTGTTTCTAGCTCTCTACAGTCACACACAGTTATTATATCTGAATGTTCTTCTGCTGTATCTAGCTCTCTACAGTCACACACAATTATTATATCTGAATGTTCAGCTGTTTTTCTATCTCTCTACAGTCACAACAATGTTATATCTAAATGTTCTCTGCTGTTTCTAGCTCTCTACTACACACAGTTTATATCTGACTTCTGCTGTATCTAGCTCTCTAAGTCGTGTTCTTCTGCTGTTTCTAGCTCTCTACAGTCACAACAATGTTGTTCTTCTGTTTCTAGCTCTCAGTCTATTTATCTGACGTTCTTTCTGCTGTTTCTAGCTCTCTACAGCCACACACAATTATTATATCTGAATGTTCTTCTGCTGTTTCTAGCTCTCTACAGTCACAACAAATGTTATATCTTGTTCTTCTGCTGTTTCTAGCTCTCAGTCACACACAATTATTATATCTGAATGTTCTTCTGCTTCTTTCACAGCTCTCTACACACATTATTATATCGAATGTTCTTCTGCTGTTTCTAGCTCTCTACAGTCACACACAATTATTATATCTGAATGTTCTTCTGCTGTATCTAGCTCTATACAGTCACACACAGTTATTATATCTGAATGTTCTTCTGCTGTTTCTAGCTCTCTACAGTCACACACAATTATTATATCTGAATGTTCTTCTGCTGTTTCTAGCTCTCTACAGTCACACACAATTATTATATCTGAATGTTCTTCTGCTGTTTCTAGCTCTCTACAGCCACACACAATTATTATATCTGAATGTTCTTCTGGCTTTTCACCATCGCAAAATATCATTATAACAGAACGTGTTTCTAACCTTTCTAGTTTTTACGCCGCACAAAATCATTTTAACGGAATGTTCTTTTAGCTTTTCCAGACTTTTACCATCGAACAAAATAATTATACATGTATGTGCATCTGACATTTACAGCTTTTCGCTATTGCACGAAATCATTATATCCAAATGTGTTTCTGACTTTTCTAGATTTTTTACAATCGCACGAGATCATTATATCGGATTTTTTTCTTGTCACTTTTTGCGCATCCTTTACAAGACATTGCAGAACCAAACCCAGCATTTTTGGCTGTTGTGGTTTTTCTAGGAATATTTACGTTCAGTGGTTTGCCATTGCTTTCTGAATGGGCAGCTTCTCGATATCACTGTCGAAACCAACGCAAGACACAAGCCCCGTAGCCGGAAACGAAACCGGCACCCTAGCATTACGGAGTGCGTTCGCAACACCTGAGTCACAGACATTTTCCTCGGCATTTCTTTAAAAATAGCACGAAATCACTGAATTGGGATTGTCTTCTGTGTTTTTTTTAAAAAAACTGTTTCACGAAATCATTAGTGATTGAGTGAAACTGAATCCCACAGGCTCTCCACACTGAGCGATTAACACCGTGTGACGCAAAGTGCAGTGCGTCATTACTCGGATGAGAATCACAGGTCAAGTGCTGGAACACCAGATCAACATGATGGCACACGGGTAGTAGCCTATAAGTTCTCCGTTATACTTCTAATTCAAGTCTGAAGTAGCTCAGCACAGTGCACGGGCGTAAGGATCCTGAAATATTTTGGGTAGATCTTCAGCTCCAAAGTTTTGCCAGGGCAGCGCCGTTTGGGCACTCTTTTCGATTTCCAAATGCCAAGGGATTTGTTACGTGCGCAGCAATACACACGGGCGTCCGATCTAACCACCCAGAGACCAGGGATAAACTTACTAGAAGTCCTTTCACGTGAAAAAAAAAAAAAAAAACCCACCCTTCACCGGGGCCTGAACCCGGTCAAGTCCCAGAAATCCGTTCATCCGTAAGGTTATATTAGGACCCCCGACGGTTACAAAGTAATCTGAAATCCAGCCGGGTGGGGCTGCAAATGTCCTTTACGGGGATGGATATGCTGCTTACACTTCCCAGTAGACCTGTAAACAGCTTCCAGCCACATATCTTAGTCTGGTTAACGTTTTAGTAAAAGCCCCGGCTTAGCAGGTGCCCAAGGGTTAATCGTGTCCTTGAGATAGGAAGACTTACCCCCGGCACGTTGTAGGGCATCATGCAAACGGGAATTTATCTTGGGGTTTAACTTTAGATATCCTGTCTTATCAACAACACATTTCCCTCCAAACATGAAACAGACAGCTCACATTAAAACTACGTTAAATGCGCTTTGAGATTTCAGGGGAAGCTACTCCAGTATCTGCAGTGATTACATCCCTTACGTTTTTTGATAATTACACAGTACAACCCTCACGAATACGAAGTCCAGGGATCGAAAAAATGAGTTCCTTTTAAGCGAAATTCGTGTTAATCGAGGACATATTCTAATGTGGAAACTGAGAAAAAAATAATGCGCGTCTTTACAATGAAGATTGGTTAAAGTGTGCCCTAGTCATTTACCTGACGCGAATCTGGTGATAGTGTCCAACAACCATATTTGTTCAGATCGTACATCACACAAATTAAACACAATCCAGAATCAAATAAGATCGCGACCAGAAAACGTCACCACAAATATAGCTGAAAGGAAAGTGAGCAGAAATGTGAACGGACCTAGCTGAAAGTGGTCAAAGAAAGAGAATTTGAATTTGAATCACACAAATTGGTACTAATTCCTATACGTCCTTCTCAGGACGTAATTTTTTGTTATTTGAAGCCCTACTCTGGCTTTCGCCAGGGGCC